TACTTTACTTTACTTTACTTTACTTTACTTTGTCCTACACACTACACTAGGGGATCAGTGCTGTATGCGTGCACTCGCAGTAAGATACGCTGGTACTGTTTGTTGTTCATCCTTTCGATGTGTCCATTGTCGGACGAGAATCTGCGTACATTGTTCCAGATAGATATCGATTCAAGCGTTTGATACTTTTTATATAGTTCATGCAAGCGACACATTTTTATTCCTATAACCGGGGGACTCCTGAATCTGCTGTCCACTTCGCACTTGATGTAATCCGCAGTGCCTTTTTGTCTCATACGTGGAACAACTGAACTTGGGTCTGTTGGTCACAAAGTGTCAACCGCGTGACTTTTGAACGTAACACTGGAATGAGCAGATCATTCTACAATCGATTATTTCACTGTATCGCCAATCTCTCTGTTCGATCTGAGAAGTCGCCGTATTGTAGACACTTTTAAATGTAAAGCATAAATCACGATTACTGGAACTCCACTTTGCATCCCGATTTTGTTCTCAAATAAAGAGAATGCGTATTCTCGGTGACATGGATAGCTCGAGAATGCCCCATACGTTTCGTTCGATCGGTCTAGTTAATCTTGGGTCGTTGTTTTCATTGAGGTAACAGGTTTGGACATAGTTAAGAGTAATAAAACAATCGCCAGCTGCAGTACAGCACTTGGTGGTTTGTTTATCTCTTTATTTTTGCCACTTTTCTGAAGACGAGACAAAACCAGTGGTTAAATCTACTAAACTGTGTTATTTATTCCCACACTTTTCGGCCTCAGCTCTTAGCTAACTGTTCTATTTGGTCCCATTCCATTATGTTTTCAAACCTACGTAGTTTTGAACGCTGTCGTTTTCAGACTTATTGCCTTGATTTCACTCTCACTCACTCACTCACTCACTCAATCAATCAATCAATCAATCGATAAATCAACCAATAAATCAAATTGGTTAATCAATCAATCAGTTGATTGATAAAAGTGATAATTCACCAGTAAATTTACCTACTATGCATCTGATATGCATCGCTCTGTCGGTCGTTTGAATTGATGGATAATCCCACCTGGGCCTTTCTGTACCTTTTACGCGTAAGCTTGCCGTTTATTGTCAGCTTCACAGTGAATATTAATGACGGTAATTTCTCGATATTTTCGGATTTTATAATCAGCACATCTAAGGTTCATCAGATTTAACAGTTGCTCAAGTTTTCGATCACTGCCATAAGTCGCTACTTAGCTTCATCTGTACCAAAGAAATTCGCCATGTTTCCCAACAGTTTTTCCAGTATTCATCTAGTGATCTAATGTGGACTCAGAAGCCATCTGTCTACCTGTAGGTCTGTTCCTTTCTGTCTGAGTTTCCTATTTGGTTTTCGCTTCGGCCGATTTCCAATCAGTAAACAACACAACGTGCGTTATGCCTGTCTTCCAATTAGGTCCATGGTGGAACCTGGGCGATTGTATCGTGTGTTCTTCGATCGGTTTCAGCGAGAAAAATTTGGCTTGTTTTTCCTCTCTTAAAATTCATGGAGATGGGTAACGAAAATACATTTGCTTGTAAATTTTAGAACCCAAAATGCTCACTTAAAAGTGAGTCGTGAACCTGACAAACAAAGAGATGAGTGTTGGAACGACTAGGAAAGGCGTCCGGGATCTATCTTGCGCTGTTAAAAATTGTTTTGTTATGTTGTTGTTCTTTCGTTCTCTTACATCGGCTGTTCAGCCGCTTCTCACTCCCTAGATGAAGTTGTAATCCTGTTATCTGATTCAGCTCTTCGGTTTTACTTGCTGTCTGGTAATATGCTTAGAAAAACACAAGTTGAAAGTTAACTAAACCACGACCCCTCCCCATATAGTCTGCGTATTGGGGTGCAGTGATTCAAGCTTTTCCGTCTCTAAAACTAACGCTTCACTCATCATCATTGATGTTTCAACTACTATCAGTCCCTTAAAATCTTCCAATGTTTGAACCTCTGATGGCAGCTTTAGACAACGCATATACCATGCCTGATACCGTTTTTCATTACTGACACTTGTTTCTTTCTCTTTTTGATAGTTGTTCTGCCAATTGTGCTTTCGAGACGAACTGTCTATAGACTATCTCTTTCCGCTTATAATGACAGTGTTGTTTAATCACAAGCAGGGCATGAAAAGAAGTGAACACTTATAAGTGAAGGATTGTAACGGATAACCGATACGATTTACTTTTCTGAGCAAATAGATTGTCGCGTCCGCTGGAGCGTGTTCTACGGTGTTGGTATCTATCATTTTACTAAGCTGATTCATCAGCAACTTCATTCTAATAAAGCACTTGACGGCCGACATAAACCAGGTCTGGGTAGCTGAGACCTAAAACTGTAAGTTGAAGTTCTTATGGCGTGCTAGCACACCTTTTACCTTCGTGAACAGTTGTGATTTAGCGCCTGATACAACTGTAATAAGGGACGCTTGTCCAACTAACTGGGGTGCACGGATCCTCGTATTGCATTCGTTTGTGTAGACTGGCAACTGAACTCCAAACAAGACACCAATAATCATGCATCACCACAGTAATGTATTGTGGTCCGCACTTAGTTGAGTAAAAGCAGGAAGTATGTTTCGAACAGGGTCGGGTGGTGCTAGGGACCTATATTTTTCGAAACTCATTGGAAACGTAATAGTCTTCATGAAACCAGCTTATTCTCTTCAGAACATTTTAGCTGGCGTAAGATAATTAAGAATGGCAAAACCAGTGGATGTAGATTTCAATGAACAAACTCACCACAGTGTCAAATAGATAGCAAATAACTTGCGGATGACTAACTAATTATAATTATTTCAACCCCATTGGTGTACATTTAGTCAGAAGAAACATCATAGTTTGTACTTCTGGTGTAGTAACATAACTTGAAGGATATTATAGAACGTCGTCAAGTCTACAACCAAGTTTCCCATATGAGTTGGAAAATATAAATGAAATACCGGTGAAACTGTTTATGACTAACACCAATAAAGTGTTAGTGTTCATGCCAGATTTCCTCAAAAGAAACGACTTTCCTGTTGCATCAGATTCGTTTTGACAAACAATTTCCCCATGTTTTGTTGCAAGAAAATGGGATGAATTGCGGACGATTGGTGCTTTTAACCAATGTTAGATGTTATTTGGTTTGAAAAAGCAGTCCTTTTGATACAGTTACGAGTCGGTAAAGATATGCTTGTCATTTATTGATGAGGAATCGAGTATCCGAGTGTTAATACGAAAACCTCTGTGATGTTTTTTTCAAACTGTATGTGCTCATATCTTTGATTTTTGTACATGCCGTCTAAATTTAAAATAAAAAATCATAAGATTCATTTATGATTATTAAATAACTGTCTTTGTTTCTTTCAAATAATACATCCCACTAACGTTTTTCTTAACGTACGGTTTACTTCCAGTTTTCATGCAAATCCCTTTCTATCTTGAAGAATAATCGTTCCTCCCAATACTCTTCTTTTCTAATAACCTATAGTCGCGTGCTAGAAGTCAATCAAAGGATCAACACTTTGGTGCCGCACCACTCACTACTGTTTCACTCATCTGCTTCGGTTGGCTTTTCAACCCCGTTACTGCAGTCGTTTCAGTACGTGGGAATGCGGAAGCTGTACTCGGTGTGTGCGTGCTCGCCTGCCTTTTACTGGTAATTCACAAATGCGCGATCACGGCTGGTCTGCTGTTCGGATTGTGCGTACACTTAAAATTGTATCCGGTAATTTATGCTCCGGCCATTTACCTGTGGTTCGCGCCAGTCGTCACTAATTACCGATCCCTACCATGGAAAAGACGCTTATGGTTACTTCTTCCACGTTGGTCCCATATCCGTTTCTCTGTGGGTGCACTGACCAGCTTGAGTGTGCTCACCGGACTGGGCTACTGCTATTTTGGCGGATGGCGTTTTTTGCACCAAGCTTACTTATATCACTTCTCGCGCGTGGACATCAAACACAACTTTGCCCCACATTTCTATCCTCTCTATCTACTGTCTGGTTTGGAATGGCGACAGTCCGGCCTAGTTGAAGCTGGTACGTTTGTCAATGCATCGCCTGCTGGGCGTGCCCGAGACCTGTTAGATCGCTTGCAAAGCACTGTGGCAGGTTTAGTTTATTCGTCGGATAAAACTGCAAAACTCGGCACTTCTTTGACTGTTCTGTTTCGATCTGCCGTTCAGTCGCTTTTGCAGGATGAGTCTCGATTGCAAATTTTAAAGCTGGTGTTCAGTTTGGTTTCGGTTCTCCCAGCGGTGTTTCTCATTCCATTCTTGGCATTTCGACTACGTCGAACTCCCGGTTTATGCTGGTTCGCCACAACCTATGCGTTTGTGACGTTTAATAAAGTAAGTCTATAACTCCGTAAACCGAAATTCTGTCCTGCTTCTATGGTCATATTTTACCTGTATCGCTCACGGAACACTCAGTTGAACCGCTCGGAACGGTAAAAGCAATTCTGATGTTCCTGTCAACAATGTTGGTGAACTACATTTTAAATATAATGATGTGGTGAAACAAGCTAATAGCTGTTTTTAAAACAATTCTTCCTAGTTGTCGACAAAACGCTGTAAACAACTACCTCTTCGATGTTGATGCTCGTCAACTGTATTATTTTTGATCCTACCCAAACTCCGATTGTTGAGCACCAATCGTTTGACTCAACGGTTTCGGTTCCCACTCCAGACTTCGAAGTTCGTGGTTCGGGGTGACGATGCGGTGCATGAATTGAACGTACTGCTGACAATTTACAACAAGGACAGAATACCTGTCCAGGGTTTTTTTATCGATTATCAAACGGAATTCTTTCGCAAGTAAAATGCACGAACCATATGAGGAGTAAAAAAAACTACCAAAAAATGATACCCATACCAGAACGACATTCCAGACTTTCGTATTTTCAAAGGGGTCTCGTAGAAAACGTATTTATCGGCACATAGGTCTTTTCGTCATCCTACTTTTTTGTTCCGTGGCCTAAGTAACAAAGTTGGCCTTCGCATATTCTCCGCGACGGATTTCTAATAATTCTCTCGATGTCACTTATTCCATAGGAAGAGGTGAACTCACAATGGTCTGCGTACTTTCTACAGAAGTTTGTAGCTTTTATTGTCAGGCGAAAACCTGCTGTGTTCTCAGACATCGTTGGTGGTTTTTTTCGATAGTATAGTCAATGAATCAATGGCCATTTGTTCTCTATAAACAATTTTTTCATTTTTTCATTTTAGTTTTATTGAACATACAAAGATTAAATTTTCAGAAAGAAGGAAGCGGCCAATCAAAGGGCTGCTATTCAACACAATGGGGAAAGTCAGGCGGTTTTGGTGGGATTCGAACACATCCCCGGGGTGATAATTTGGTGACGTTACCACCGGGCCACCACCCCGTTCTCTGATACTCATACTAGAGAAGCACCTATTAACGTACATCTCCCCTGGCCTACCACACGCACTGAGTTTTACCCCAGAGCCGCATGTTTCACGGTTCAAATGATTATATTGTATGGTCTGTAAACACATGAAAACGATTTCAGCATATTTTCTCTCCTCTCCCAGACACTAATTACCGTGGGTAATAATGTCGACTAATTGTAGCTTTGGATACGGACGTAGTTGTTGGTGTGTTCTCCGAGCTGGAAGTCTTGTTCCTCGAAGTTGCACTGATTATATTGCCTAGACTGGCTACGAAACGTCTGCGAACAACACTTCCAGCTCGGAGAACACACCACCAACAACAACTTAGTATCGTCTCTCATTGCTCTGAATTGGGGCAAAAGTCTGTTCTGATCTCCTTTGCTTATGGTTGCGCTAACGTTTGAAATAAATTGCCAAGCTCGGCGGAAAGGCGAAATGGAATAGACGTGAGTTAGAACAAGGATAGGTTGGTCAAAACAATGGGATCAAACGTTCAGTGGGCGGAGGTTGGATTCTTCAGCTGATTAGCCTGAAGATTATCTATTTGAACATCACCGCTTCACTTTCCCCATTTTGTTTGTAAGATATGGTAGTCCTTTTAATTTATCGCCTAAGCTTTATCGTAAAATTTAATGAAATAACAACGGACATAAGAGAAGTACGTGTGTTTCATCGAAGTGTAGAGTGTGACACGTGTACACTATAGCGCTGTCGAATTTTTCTAAGACGCCAAAGCTTGCAGTGAACCGGTCATTTATTTTCCGACTACGCGTCAGAGTGATATTGGTTTTCAGTTTGTGTCTGGGAGCTTGCGGATCAATGTGAGCTAGAATATAGTGATGCTTTTCCGCCCTTTCACGGTCTCTACTGCAAGTCTGTTGTGACCGAATTCCGGAGTATAGAAGAAGAAAAATGCTGTAACGATTTGTCGTTGGCTGAAAGGTTTTCATATCTTGAGTGATTAGCACAGTTATATAAACTACTCACAGCTTCTTTATGTGAAGATAGTTTTGGTTATGAGTCAATTAGAAAGGATAAACGGTAACCCGGTGGATCGCGATCACTAATATGTCTGATAGGAAAATGGTTTTAAAGACGGATTATAGCATGTTTTCATGGCATGAGATATATTTCCCTTCATCATTTATTCAGGCATAACCAGGTGTAATTCTGTTCAAACATCGCAATCATCAGCTCGTTGAATCGTTACTCATATTTTTTGGTTTTGTCGTCAAAATTGTTTGAAAAATATCGCTTTTGTTGAATCCGTATTTCTCTTAGCGAGAAGGCAAATATTTCTTCGACTCATTGGCTTACAGCAGATTATTGTGGGTAATTATATTTTCTACAGTGCCCTTCTCCGTGCGTTTAGGTGTTACTTTTGTTCTTATGGTTTCAGGGAATCCAGTCTGAAGCAGAACATACAGATAAATAGTATTTTTCTAATAAAAAGCGAATAAGGAAATTTGCTTAATCGGAGTTATCAGTGATAGCAAAAAACTGCACATGGGAAATTTTAGATTCAATGCTTACCGATGAGACGGTGAAACGACACCGACGAACTGCCAATTCACTGGGCTTTTCGTGACTGAGTCGTAAATTACCGCTCATTTTTACTTCTCTTTGGCTCAGTGTTTCATTTATTCGTGCGTGTGGTTTTTTCAGGTCCTTTTACATGAGTCTTTTCAATAAGGGTTGATCTTTTGTTGCAGTATTGGGTGTACCATCATCTCATTGTTAAAGAAACCTTCGTAATGCGTTGCTTTGTAGGTATGTACATCCCAGTATTTCCTCTGGAGCTTAGTTATCCTTCCAATCGCACTGGCCAGCGTCAAACCACCGGCATCCACCCCCGTTTGGTTCGTGATTACCGAGAGTTTACTCATCTGGTTTGGCTCACAAGCGGTTTGGTTAGTGTCTGCGTACAGCCTGGAGTTGCACACCACCTATTCACCACAGTTTGCTCGTGTGGTGTGGCTCATTGTCTGGTCTGCTTCACTGTTCTTTTTGCTATGCAATGTGTTTCTTTTGAGGCGCTTCATTCGATGGGGTGCTTATCACGAGGTCGGAGGACAGCATGATGTCGAGGAGACGAAAAAAGAAAAATGAAACATTTTAATTTCGTAAACACATATTTTGTGTCCTATTCCTGTTATTGTTCATATCTTTTGTTGATCTTTGTTATCATTTTACAAATGTGTAGTTCGTTGTCTGGCCCTCTTTGTCAGCTGTTTGTTTAATCCGTGCTTCACTAATATAGCCGCTTCACGAAACCTTTTTAACAAACATTCCATTTCCATTATCTTCATTAGTCCGTTGAACTACTAAATATATTTATTTTGCTTTCCCTGTCACTGTTTAAATTTTACGTGTTTGCATACTCTCCCAGCGTTCTGTTTTGCTATCGTCTTCCGTTCACTTGAGCAAACTGTTTCGTTTCTTCACACCGGTGCATGTATGTGCATGTGTGTGTGTATGTGCACGAACTTCTCTTTCACGCACACATTCACCAGCCACGTTTGATTCCATCCCCCTTTCTCCGTCCTTGGCTTGGACCACCGCTCGAGTGTCCACACGAACTGCCTTCAGTTCACCAGCGATTCACTGATTTTTCGCTGGACACTGGAGCAGTTTAATCTTCCATTGAGAGATATGACTTACAGCTATAATGATAAAATATTATTCCACTATTTTTCTTCCCTTTCATTTGGGACATACATAATTAGTTCAGTTCAGTTCAGTTCATACAAAGATGCATAGAAAATTTGTGAAGACGTAAACATTTATTGATTTATTTAAACGCTTATTAGTTGATTATGACCATTATGTTAGCACATTTCAAGTACTTTCATTCTTGTGGTGGCTATGCAAATGTTAATCGTGGTGATTACTTTGTGGGATCAAGAATTGTTTTGATCTAAGGGAGAGAATCAACAGTTATCAACATCCTTCTTTAAAGGTAAAAAATCAGTGTTCAAGAATACCAAGATCTCAGAAAACCTATTCTGAATTCAAAAGTCATATTGCGATAGAAAATCAGTTCAAGTTTATTCTCCCACTGCCTACTTGATCTGTTTCTAAGATCGTGATTAGTATTGTTATGGATAAAATAACACAACTTTTGGAGACGTAAAATGATTTGGCGACAGTTACTCAAGCCCAGTAGTTTGATCGACCAAATACCCACGAGGTTTCTTGTACAGTTGAGGTAAAGCGTGATCAAACACAAGCAGGACGTTCTTGTCTTATCTTCAAATGGTTACGCGGATGTTTGGTATGCCTCTTAATTTCGAGGTATCTGTCGCACGCTGACTTTACATTAGGGATGATCTTTCTGTTTCCCCGAAGTTATCGCATAATTACTCACAGGTATTCCTCTCCCACATCTTTATGATATAGAAAACCTAGAATAGGTGTAGGTTTTTGAGGTCTTAATTGCCACCGTTCAAACACAGTTTCAACAAATGGATAGCATTTGATCCACTACAGTGCGGCAAAATTATCGTGATGATTCATTTGTGGATATTTTAACAGGTGTTCATACAAAACAATGCATACATGTAAAAGAGATTGGTTAGTTTCTAGATTTATGTGTATGTTTACTCGCTATCCATTATTAGAATTTAGGTACCCAACGATGTACGATGATATATACTTGGTGCCATAGTTCTGTGTGCTGACTACTTTTCTAGATGAAATGTGCTCATGTGTGGTTTGCCCCTTCCAGGACGATGAGTTTCCCGAGAATCTTTTGGGATTCGGTTTTTGCTAGCTCATGGAACACGTATAACTTGCTTCCGATATGCTCTGGTTGAAGTAGGCATATACTGTACAGAATAAAACATTCGCATCTGTTGTTGTGTTCTGTTAATTTGGAGTTGAATAGAATACGTTGAATTTCATCTCCTAAAAGCAGACTAGAAATCGATCGAAAACTCTTAGCTAGTTTT